GCTGATCAAAACCTTTTGTTTTGATTTTGACCTTTTTTTTGTTGTTTAAGCTTTCTAAAATGAAATGAAAGTTAGCTCAAAGAAAAAAAACCCTTAGTTTAAAACAGCAGTGAAACTGACAAGTCTCTTTTCTAAGCTAAGTAAAAAGTACAAAATAAACAAACCATGTACACAACAGAAAGCAAATCAGATTACTACAGACATTTCCCAGAGGAAGAGAGAATGTGATTGTGGGGAAGAAGGAGGAATTACTTGGTCTTCATAAGAGTTCAGGGGGACAGCCTACAACATTATCTTGCTTCAGAGCCAGGGTCTGCATTGCCAAAGCCTGGGACAAATTAGTGTTTCCTTTTTCCCTTGGGATGAGGGTTAACAGCAAGCAAGTTGACCTGCACAGGTACATTGCTAGAATGTCTAAACTGAATCAGCAGTTAGATTTACTGTATCCCCAAATGCTGATGGTTCCCTATTACAATATTCTCAAAACAACCCTTTTTATCTTGTTTGATCACAACTCAAGATGGCATTGGGCCAGATCAAGCTTTTCTGAGTCCTGAATATCTTCATTAAATGCATTTAATGTTACCACAGATTAACATGATCCTGTACAGTGGGCGTGTCTACATGAGATGCTTACTGCACATTAGCCTAATAACACTGTGCAGTATCGTGTCACAGCAAAAAAAGTGCTAATAGCCTACTGCACAGTGTTATTAGACTAATGCACAGTAAATATCACTGTGCACTGGCGCTATTGTGCAGTAACTAAGTACTGTGCAAACAGTACTTTATTAAAGTAGTACTAAACTAAATGCACAGTATCTAAGGTGCGTTAATGAATGAGTAGACATGTTTGGTGCATAGCAACTAAGATGCTGTTCTGATGGCAATTTACCGATGTGACTAATAGCTAGAAATTAGTGACCTCAGCTCTCATCTAGCAACTGTTCAATATCTAGGCTCTTAGGATCCATTTCACTCCTGTGAACTTTTTGTATTCCCAAAGAGCTCTTTTTTGCTGTACAGAAGTGACAAAAATCTCAAAAAGATAAAGCTATCAATCATGACTAATAAAAATTTCAAATGCAAGAAAAAGTCAACACAAAAAAGTTTGCATAGCCAAACTTCTTTCTAAGTATTTCTATTCCTTAGCAAAATTATTTATTAGCAAGTGGTGAAATGCCCATTGAACCTGAACAATTGCCAACAGAAGGTTCATTGACTTTGATTAAGAAAGTACTAACTTTTTTAATGAGCTACTGCTGACATATTTGGGGGAAAAATCTTCTGTATCAGTGACTGCTCAATGGTAAGAGAATAAAAAAAGGAAATGAAATGCTAGATGACATTTTAAAGTTAGAAGTGATAGGACTGAGTGGGTGGTGAAGCTAAATATTTAAGTGACTTAGCAAATTATAGTAGGCAACTGTAACCACACTGTTATAGATATGCCACTGTAACTTAGAGTCAGTCATTTTAAAAATTGTTGGTTGTTCCTTTGTGTGATTTGTTTCATCTCAATGCATTTAACTTTATCTAGCAAACTACCTGGTCATGTTTTGGCTTGAATGGACACACACACACACACACACACACACACACACCCTCTCTTTCTCAGGTAGCTTAGAGCAGGCCAGAACATGTGGCCCAATGCTGCTGTTGAACTCTCTGCCTTGCAAAAAGTTGAAAATGGAGTGGGTTGTGTGTCGAGGGCAGCCCTGGATCATCTATACTTCCTAAATGTTAGTTTTGGAGTAAGAGGCTAGGAGCAGTTTCTTGATGTCAGTAATGGTTAGAAAATGTTATTTTGAGGTTTGGTTTTGGGAATTGGCTTGTAGGTAAAGTAGATATGCATTAGACTAATGGTCCAGGGGAACAACAGAGGTTAATTGGTTTCTAAAAGTCTGTTTGTGACAAAGTTTCCTTCAAGGCCCACTGTGTCTGGAACCAACAGACACACAGGGTGGGAAATTGAAGACATGTACCACAGTGTTCCCTGAAAACCTCATAACAGAGATAAGGTGGTCAGGTCACAGTGACCAACTGCAAAGCCCTTGGGATTTCCAGTTTTGGTGGATGGACCAAATTAGGAGGCTGGGGCATAATACCAGTAAATGAGCAAATTAAGATGCGTGCATGTGATGGGTTTGTTCAAACAAAGGAATATGCTGACAGAATAGAACATGGACAGTATGATAACCAATCAACAATGGACATGGACAGAGAAACCAATCAACAATGCCCAGTGTGAGAAGGCCATGTCCTTCCACCTCATACTCATAAGGGCTATACTGCCTTTCGTCTCTCTCCCACTCACCTGCCACTCCTTGATGAAAAATTAATGTTCAGGAGGAGGGATGTTCTTGACATGTAAGCCAGTCTGACCCACTTGCTGATCTTTTGCAGGGCTCCACCTCCACTACACCCTGCCCCTTTTCTCTTGGGTTGATGGTCAGTATTTCCCAGTGATGGTGAGTGGTGAATAGCTTGGCCTCTCTCTCTCCAGTTTGTACCACACAGCATCGATATCTTCTTCTATGCAGCCCTGGCTGCTATATAACCAGATCTGTTAAATCAAGAATCACTTTGATGAACTCATTAACAATTTTTCCCTGGTGAGTCCTAGGCCTTCTGGCCTTGATCTCATTAATTGCCCCTTTTGGGGAACTAGGTATAGTTTCTCTCCCAATTCTAAGTGAAATTTTCAGGGGGATTTTAACTTTTTCTCCTTTTCTCCTCTTCTGGTATCATTCTCCTGTCTGGATGAACTAAACTACAGAGAAGGCTTCTTCTCTTTAGTCCTCGATTCCCTCTTTTCCTTTATAAATCAAAATTATAGGAGAATCCCTTGGATTTCTTCTTCCTTTTCCAGAGCTTGTTCTGCTGCAGTTTCTGGCCTCTGCTCAATTCTGTCCTCACCAGCAGGACACAAATAGCCCCTTTTTTTATTTCGGCTGTCCCCCGTTTCTTTTGAGGTCCCCACTCCTCCTGGCAGACTGATTCCCCTTGCTTTAACTCTCTCTCTTTCTTGGCTGGTCTGCACCAACTGTTCGCCATGGGCATGCTCCTCACTGGGTCCCTGCTCTGGGCGACTGTGGAGGGCACGTGGTGTTCCTCTCCCAGCTCATTTTTACTTATCTTTCAGGGAGAGTGGTGATGGTTCTGGCTTGTGCCTGCAGGTCTTGAAGCCTCATGAGGGTCCAGTGTGTGGCGACTGCTTCTTTGAGGTTTCTGCCCTCCAGCGGTCCTTTGTGGGGTTTTCCATGCTGGGGACACTAAATGCCAAGCTCTCCTCAGCGTCCTCCCTTTAAACTCCTCACTTCTCATTGCGGGCCAATCACGACCAGTTTCCCAGAGCATGTGTTCTCATGCTCCCGGGATTGCCAGCAGCTGCATTGTCCCAGATGCCAGAGCCATGCTGCATGGCTGGAATCAGATGGGTGAGTCCCTGGCCAGCATGGCTATTAGCACTGGAGCATGGCAGGGGCTGGGACCCTGTCCCTACCACACTGAGAATGAAGAGTCATCAGAGGAGGAAAAAGATACAAAAGGGGGGATTTCAGAATAGCAAAGGGTCCCTGATGTGGGAACCTGAGGCCACCATAGACAGAGGGCACACCACCATTCTGTTTTGCCCACCCCATGGGGGCAGACTGGAGGGTGGGGTAAGGCTTGGCCCTCGACCTTCAGGCTGCTGCCATTTGACATTCAAGAGAGAACCACAGGGTGAAGCTTGCATACTGACCAGATGTACCTTCCCTATGTGACAGCTTTAGGACCGGTGGATATAGAATTGTTTGCTTTGCCTGCATTATTTTTATCTGCTATCACTGTGTATCAATAAAATTGAGTTGTGGTTGGTCTGAGGGTTTGGGTCCACCCAGAATAAGGTATCTGGGTCATAAATCTAGTGCCAACGGTCAGCAGGCAGGCATTTCAGGCCTGGTCACAGGTTTCCTAGGTTTTGTTATCTGACCCGAGTGTCCTTATGAACAGCTCTGGACAGGGCTGGAAAGAACTAAAAGAGGGGTTGGCAATGTTTTGGGCAGAGTACCAAAAACACTTGCAACCTCTACTTGGAAGATGTTGGCATGCCAGGGGCAGATGGCAGGGGAGCCAAGAGGAGCCCAATCCTTGTGGCAGTCCAGGCCCCTTCCTTGCCACCTATTGCAAGCAGCCTGGGCTCCATGATGGATGGCAGGGGCCTGCCCAGAGCCCAGGCCTGCTGTGGCAGGCAGCTAGGAGCCTGCAAGTGACTGCACTGGGATCCCCAGAGCCCCAGCTTAACTGGTGGGTGCACACACACCTTGGGGTAGACAGTGGGAAAGAGGCCCAGGCTGTGCTGCCACAACAAGGCTCAGGCCCCTTGTAGCTCCCCATCCATCCATCCATCCATCCATCCATCCATCCCCGGTGCGTATGCACCTGCCAGCAGCAACAAGCTAGGCTGGGGTTCCTCAGACTGGTTCAGGTGCTTGCAGCTTCCTGGATGCCTGCCAAAGCCAGCCTGGACTCTAGGAAGGCTCCTGCCACCTGCCACAGATCCTGGGCTGCTTGTGGCAGGTGGTAGAGAGGCCTGCACTGGGTCGCAGAGCCCTGCTGCTGGCTTTTTGCCAGCAGTGGGTGCACGTGCCTCTCTGGGCAGATGGTGGGGGGAGCTGCAATCCTTGTGGCAGCACAGCCCCAGCCCCTTCCCCATCATCCTGCCTGAGGTGCATGTGCCAAACAAAATGCCTTCATATGCCATGCTCTGGCATGTGTGCCAGGGTTGCAGGCTCCTGAACTAAAGTATATTCAATCCATCAGTAACAGCCCACAATGAATATTCCTAGATCAGAAGGTCAGAAAATCTATTGGGAAGGCAGGAAAACAAATAATAATAAAAGACACTGTTATTCTGCTCTCGGCACTCTGAGAAGACTTCTGTAGTCATGTGTGCCTTTTCCATCTGAAGGAAACAGATTTTACATCAGTAACTCTGGTAGCTGTTTGGGACAGATGTGGTCTCCAGCACTATTGCAGGGGGTGGTGGATGAACGTATCTTGTGGACAGTTGATTCTGAAAATAGAAATGTTGCTTATCATAACCAGCTCTTTAATAAGGGAGCTTTTAACTCATATGGGCTTTTTTGAAAGAATTTACCAGAACTGCATATTTTAATGTAAGCAAATCTTGTGATGAGTTCAAAAAGAACCAAAAGAAACTAGATGCACCTTGTTCAATTACCTTTTTATTGGACTGAGTCTAATTTGAAGACAAACCCTGTCAACCTTTATTTATGAGCAATACATCTTGCAGTGGCCTAAGGTAGATGTCTGCAAATTTTTGTCTTTGGTTTCATTCAGATCTAGGTATGTATGAAACCTTCTCTCTATTAAATGACTTGCTGTTTTGTAGGTATTGCAGTTGTCTTGGCCAATCTATAGCTTAAGTGGTTTCTTCTTAATGAACAATAATGTTCTGGTACTAAAGCTAAAGTTCAAAGAGTGAGTGAAATCTAGGTAAAACTGAATTAACTTTAATGAGATGTGAGCATACCTGGTACTTCCAGGAATAGTTCATCAAGAGCTATAGATCTTTTAAAGCCCAAGTTAGGGGAGCTTTAATTATAGAATCATTGAAATATATGAGGACCTCAGGTCCTTGATTCTAACTGCCACTCATGGCAGATCTATCCTTTTCTAGATCATTCCAGTTCTTAAAACCTTCCTAGGATAGAGATTCCATAGCCTCTCTAGGCAATCTGTTCCAGTACTTAGCCACCATAATACTTAGTTAATCCTTCCTAATATCCAAGCTAAAGATTCCTAGATGCAATTTAAGATTGTTACTTCTTATTCTGTTCCTGCAACCACAGAGAATAGTCAGCTGCCACCCTCTTTATAACTTATCTTTATGTATTTGAAGATTGTGATCAAATCCTTCCTTGTTAAGCTTGACTTACTGTCACTAGTGAATCTAAGATTTTGGAAAGGAGGCTGCAGAGTAAGAAAGACTGGAGTTGGGGCTGGACATGCTGTAGAAGGGCAGGTCACTTCCAAAAGCCAGGTTAACCCTTCCCTGACTCTCCAGCTACTACAGTTCCATATGGTGAATGAAGATCAAAAGCTCTTGACTTGATGATGGCTTCAGGGTCAGGGAAGTGTTATCTGCCCCTCGGCAGCCGCAGCTCCTCTAACAGCAGCTTTCTGTCCCTGCTCCTCTACACCTTGCTCCAGTTCACTCCTGGGAGGAGAAATCAAAGGTGTTATGGCTGCATCACTGCACCCTTCCCCACTCATTCACTCCTGCTTGCTGTTGATGAATCCATGTTGACTATTCCTGATCATTTATTATCCTCCAAGTGTTTAGAAATAGATTCTTTGATGACATGCTCACTTGGTATGTGCCTACACTTACTCTAAACGCTTATGAAGGACAGGACTCAGCAAATGTTCTTGTGGATGTTTTTATTACATGATTAACTGGAATTGCAGGGCACTGGGCTCAGTAACAAAGGTGGCCCTTAACATTAACATGATCCTGTTCCTAATTTTGTCACTGTTAAACACATTGAATATTACCTCATATATTCAATAAGATACCAGTGTCTGACCTATAATGTATTAGAACAGATCAGTGAGAGTCCAACAGGGAAAGATAAAGCAAAAATATTAAATCAAATAGTATAAAAGTATAAATACTCATAGCAGTTATCAGTTTGTATGAAAACTCTACAATTGATTTAAGTACAGGTACATCACCAGTTGTTTTTTCCACTTATTTCTAAGAAAAAAACAAAACATTAATAGGACTATGTATTATACAAACATACTGTGTAAAGGTTCTTAAACATATTTTTGTTTAATTTTAACAATTAGAAAGTAAATAAGTATAAGAGAAAAAAAAACTCTTGGGTATCTTGGAAAAAGTAGATTTTTATCCCAGTAGTTCAATAGGATCTACAATGTAAATACAGATGGTATTTGGGGAGTATTAAAGCTACGTATTACTGAATTGATAGACCTTAACAGTTCTTTTGCTCAGGAAGCATTATGCTCTATCATGTAAAAATGTACTTAGGGACATGTAAAATATGGTTTATTAAACCTACAGTCCATAACTGAAGTTGTTACAGTTTAATGTATAAATTCATAGTTCATGGGTTATTGAGCTAGTAAATTCTAACAACTTGTCTGCACGCCAAACAATCTTTTGTATTTTGAAAAGAATGTCATTTTTTTGGAGCTGCTTTCTTGTCTAATATCTCACAAAACTCAGAACTTTTAATTCTGTTTTCCAAAGCACCTGAGCCAACTGTTCTACGTGCATGGATTTCTTGTGTGTGTGTGTGTGTGTGTGTGTGTGTGTGTATGTATATATATATATATATATATATATATATAAAAAAAAAAATCAGTGTATGAAAATGCTGAGTTTCCTTCTGTGAAGGAGAGTGTAAAGGTGCTAATTTATTTCCACCTTCCTTCTAAGTTTAAAGAAAGAGGTACTTTTGGGGGGACAAATATTAAATGGTGTAAGGTTTTTTTCAAAGGCTCTAAACAATAAGACATCTGTAGGGAATAAAAGAACTGGGAAAAATCCCTAAACAATTAAATAAAACATTTTAAAGGTTTTTTGGTTTGTTTGTTTCTTTTTTCACCTGCTG